AGTATAAAAGATGGTTTAATTTAAAATAATAAGAAAATAAAGAAAATAAAAAAAATAGAAGAAATAGAAAAAAGAAAAATTATAAATTTAGAAGATAAATTTGCAGATAAAAATTAATATATAATAATATAATAAATATATAATATTAGTTTTTTAATTAATTCTAAGAGTATTTATTTATAGTGATATTTATTCATAATTTTCTTATTTTTTAATTTAATTAAGAGATATTACTTATTTTTAGATAATATTTATTTTTAGAATAATATGATATTAATTTTATTTTTTATAAGTCAAACTTAAATAATTAATATTTTATACTTAAATTATTATTATATTAAAATATAATTTTAGATTTTTTAAGATTATAATTATTAATTATTTCTAAAAAATTTTCAAATAAAATTTACTTATAAAGATTTATATTTAATTTTATAAAGATTTTTAATTCTATTAAAAATAATTTTATATTATTATATTTTTATTATCAAATTTTATTATTAATTTTATAAAATTTATCTTTAATATTTCTTTATTATAATATTAATAATATTATTTATTATTTAATTTAAATAATTAAAATTTATTTTTATCTAATCAAATTATTATTAATATATATTTAAAAATTATTTTTAGTAAAAGTATAATAAATTATATAATATTAATATTAATATTATTTTTTATTCTTAAAATTTTTATATTTATTATATAAAATTTATTAATAATATAATAAAATAAATAATTTTCTTGATTTTTAATAATATTTTTTTCTTGATTTTAATAAAAAAATTATATATTTATGATAAATTTTAATTATAATTAACTAATTATTATTTAAATAAAATAATTTTTCTAAATTAATATAAAATTTTAATCTAGCTTTTATTTAATATAAATAAAAAAATAAATAAATATATATACATCTTTTTATCAAAAGTATTTGACACTTTGTAATTAGCAAATAAAATTATGTTCCATAATATATATTTAAATTAAAATATCTTATTTTATATCTAACTTAATTTCAAATACTTTTTTTCTCAAGTAGACAGAAACTATAGCTTTTAAAAATTATTAAGTCAATTTTTAGCTTTACTTATTCAATTTTATAAAAAATACTTAAGTTTTGTGAACTTATTATTTTTGAGTGTAAAATAATTATTAAACTTTACAAGAATAAATACAATACTACAGATATTAAAAAATACTTGAAATATCCAAAGCTACTTGTATTAATATTATAAATAAATTCAAAAATAAGAAGCTTACTGAATCTCTTTCTTATTCAGATAGACTATCTCTTTTAATTGAGTATAAAAAGCAAACTCTTATATGAGTAACTAAAGATAATAGGAAAGAGTTACTTGAAGAAATTGTCAAGAAATTTAATAATCTAGATCTTATCCAGATTAGTACTAGTACTGCTAAATATGTACTTCATAAAAATAACTTTATTAATTATATTAGAAAGAGAAAACTCTTTGTTTCTGAAACAAATAGAGTAAAATACTTAAAATAGTATCATGAACATAGAGCCTAGAATAAATAATAGGATATAATTATTTGAAGTGATGAATCTCACTTTCTTTTATTTGAAAATAATAACTAGCAATAAATTTGATATAAATCTCATAAGAAATATAATATAGAATATCTAGTATTTATAATAAAGAATAATGATGAAGAGATAATGATATAAGGCTACTATTTTATTAAAAATTGACTTGATTTATTGGTAGTTTTAGAAAAAAGAATTACAAGTTAGATCTATAAAAAACTTTTAAAAAATTATCTAATTTCTTTCATCAAAGATCTAGATGATAAAATAACTTATGTTTTTTAAAATAATAATACTTCTATTTATAGAGCTAATTCTGTACTTATCTGAAAAGAGAAAAATTTGATACATTTTCTTTTATGATCTGCTCAGAGTTCAGATCTTAATCTAATTAAGTATTTATAAGATTATCTTAAAAGAAAATTGTACAAATATAAATCCATATCAAAAAATAAGAAAGAATTAATTTTAGGTTTAGAGAATAAGTTATTTATGATTAATGAAAGTATTTTAAAAAATTTAGTAAATAGCATATTTCAAAGAGTTACTGTTATTATTGATAAAAAAAATTCTATACTATATTAATATTATAAATAAAAAGTTCATAATAAGAGAATTTTAAAAATATAAGTTTATTAAATATTGTAAATATAATTTTTGAGAAAGATTAATTTAAATATTCAATAAGATTTTAAATTTATACAGATTATCAAAAGTATCAGATACTTTTAATAGGATAATATATATTAATCTTTTATATTATAACTAATTTTTATTTTATATATATAATATTAAGTAAATATTAATAATTATAAAATAATAAAATTATAGATTTGAAAAAAAATATAATATAAATATTTTAAAAATATTAAATATTATACTATTACTAAAATTCTTGATATATATATTATATAATATATTAAGAAATTAATACTTTAGTTATGACAAAAAAATATTAGATTATAAGAAATAAATTAATTAAATTATAAAATTAATATATAATAAAAAAAATTTAAATCAAATATTTATTTTTAAAAAATAACTTATATAATAGTGATTAAAAATATCTAATTTTTTATAATTTTTTAAATTAAAAATTGAATTATCTTGAAAATTTTTATATAAATAATATAATATAAATTTAGATTCTATAAATTTTTTTAATATACTTTAATTATTATAATAAAATTTAAATAAGAGCTGAATTTTTAAAATTAATTTTTTATATTAATAGAAAAATATTAATTATATATAATAAAAAATAATTATATTAATAAGTTTTAAATTAAAATTTCTTAAAATTTAATATATTAAATTTTAAACATTTTTATATTAGTAATAAAAAATTTGATATAATTTAATAAAAAAGATATTAAGAAATTAAAATTAAAATTAAAATTTATTAAATTTTATTATATATATATATATATATATATAAATAATTTAATATCAAAATTTAAAATTTAATTTTCAATAATTAATTTATTAAATTATATTAAATTTTTGTTATATATATATAAATATATAAATTTTAATATAATAATTTTAATTATTTTAAAAAATTTAAATCAAAAAAATTTTAATATAAAAAGTTATAAGAGATTTACTACTTTTGATTACTACTATATCTTAAAATTTATTTATAAAATTATTTTTTTTATTTTAACAAAAATATTTTTTATAAAATTTTGCTTTATAATATTTATAATAATATTTTATAATATTATACTATTATAATATTATATGAAATATAATTTTAACTATAATTAATCTTAATTATAATTAATAATTATTATTATTATATTTATGATTTTGTGATTTGATTAATTTATTTCTTAAAAAATTATATAATTAAATATTTTTTATTGTAATTAAAAAAAATTAGTAATTAATTATTTGATTAAAATTAACTATTTGATTAAAATTAATTATAATTATTTAGCTAGTTAAATACTAATTAAATAATTAAGAAAAATTTTTAATCATAGTCAAATTTATAACTAATTAAAATTTAATTAATATAATTATAAAACAAAAAATATTTAATTAATATAACAAAAAATTATTAATTATTTTTATAATTAAATAAAAATTCTAAATTATTAATAAACATATTATTTATTTGTCATTTAATATTATTATCTAAAATAAAATATATTTGATTTAGTATAAAATCATTAATTTTATCTTTAAATTCATAATCTAAATTAATTATAAATTTATATTTTACTTTTTTTTATTTTACTAATTGATTTTATTTATTAATTAAATTATTAAAATTATTAATTAATAATTTATTATTTCTTATAATATATTATTTATATTATTATTATTAATTTCTTGATTATTATTTTTTTCTATAATTAAATTTATATTTTCAATAAAAATTATTAATTTAATTTTAATTTTTATTAATATATTTTATTTTTTAAAAAAAATACTTTACTAGTTTAATATAAATAAAAATTAAATATATTTATTTATATAGTGATTTATTTTAATCTTTTAATTATATATATACTGGATTTCATATGTTTATAATATTTATACTATTTTAAATATTACTATAAGTACAAATAAATAGAATTTTTAACACATCTAGATTTTAACTATTTTAATTATTTTAACTATGATTAATATGATTAAAATAATCAAAATAACTAATGATCATGATCAAATATCAATAGAATTTTGACTACTAATTTTAACTATTGATTTTGACTAATGATTAAATTATGTTTAATAGCAAAAAAATTCTTATCATAATCAAATATCAATTCCTGAACTCAAATAAATTATGAGCCAATCATTATTTTTATTAAATATACGTGACCACGCGTGAAATTTAGCCAATCAGAAATGCCTTCCCAACACTGAAAATTCACTATAAAAAATCTATGTAATAAATTTCTAAAATATTTTCTATAAAAAATGCATTAGTTTATAGATCTTATTAAAGACTATTTAATAATGCATTTTTTTTATCATTATGTTTTGATTTATAGAGCCTTTACATTTTAAAGTATTGGATGTCTTTAGAGGGCCTGCACCATATCATTTTTATAATTTTAATTTAAAAAATTTCGTTCAAGTGGTTCCATAATTATTACCAAGACTTTTACATATGGTATGTTTGCTTTTTACGGTTGTAATGAAATATTTTCTCGTTGTAAAGTCTTTTTGAACCCAATAGCGTGTTGACTTGATCTGTTTTTTCTTTATTTTCACAGGCTTAAAAATTAAAGTTCCGATTTTATATTTATAAGTAATAAAGTATTTCTTTTCATTTCAAAAAAAATAGGCCAAAAAAATGTATAAATACCTTCATAAGAGATCAAATAAATTTATGACACATCTCTATAGGTCGGGGTTGTCGGTAAATACGGCACACGATATGGTGCCTTGTTAAGAAAACAGATCAAAAAGATGGAGATTACTCAACATGCAAAATATACTTGCTCTTTCTGCTGCAAGGTAAATTAATCAAATCAACCAAAAAATTATTATTGCAAGTGATAATTTTTTTAAAACATATTCATCATCTATATTATAGGACACAGTAAAAAGAAAAGCAGTTGGGATTTGGCTTGTAAAAAAACGTTGGCTGATGGCCCTTGGACCGTATCGTAAATATTAATCAATATTATCCTCTGTTTTATGTGTGTTATACCGAATTATAATTTTATCATCCTATTATTATTTGTTAAATAGCACTACTACAGCTGCCACTGTTCGATCAACCGTGCGTCGTCAACATTATCAACTCATTAGAATATAATAAAATGTCATTATTATGCACATCAATATTAAATTTTCTAAAATGTGATCAAATAATACAAGAGTTCGAATTCTAAGTTATTATAATCACAAAAGAAGTCCAATTAAATGGAAATTTTAGTTAGGTGTATTAGTTAAGCAAGTTTAGGTGAAGTAAATCGACTAGTAAGTTCCTTCCATAAAATTTGTCGTTCGCTCAGTACACTTCCACCAAGGACACTCGAATTTTCTTGAGCACGACGCAATAAATATGGTATTATATCAACAACCTTTGAAACAAAAATTTCATTATTACCATATTAAAATGAATAAAATCAAGATGACAATTAATAATAAATAGTTACCTTGCCGTAGGGAACATATTTATAAACGGTGTAACCATGTTTACCAAGAGTGTATGAAATATGATCACACATTCCTACACACATGCATGATGATTATAGATCGTAAATTTTTATTCCTATGTTATTTATACACACAAGGCCGAAACATACCAAATAATTGTCCGAATAAAACCAAACCAGATTTTGATGGTATTTCAAGATTATCCATTAATGTGCACG